ATCTATATACGCCCTTATCACTCAATTGGTTCAAATATGTCCTTAAATTACTGAGGGCATATTTGGACCAACTATAGAGTAGCAAAGATATATTTGAGCTAAACTATCAAAGAAGGGCATAATGGGACATTTCTAGACCTATTTTTTCGTTTATTAAATAATTTGAAATCACATTTTGACTTTAAACCACCAATTAAATTGAGTCGTATGTTTGCTGTCTCTAGTCAATATTGAGCGGTTGGAAAAGAGTGTAGAAGTAAAAAAAAAAATTAAAAAAAATCGTATGATAATAGTAATACATTGAAGAATTTTCCATGAGGTCCCTCTTCATGTTGATTGAAGAGGGTCGAAGTAAGACATATACTGATCAAACTAAAGGTATTAGGCACAACACACCTTTTTGTTCTTCGAGATAATTGCATTTTGATTGCATAATAGCTGAAAATAGTCCAATGATTCTTCGAGATTTATCTAGAAAAGTCTAGAATAGCCTAGTGTAGTATCTAAGAAATGTGTAGATGTTCTAGATAATTTAGATATTTATAGTAAAGTATAGAATAATCTAGATTCTTGTTAGACAGTTAAAAGATGAGGGTTTCTAGATTTCTTTTTATAGATGTATCTAGAATAGTTTCTAGAAGCATCCCTACACAAGTATAAATAGAATAGGGGTGGCCATTGTCATTTGTATTCAACCCAATTTGAAAGCAATTAAACAATGTTCTTTCATAACAAAGTTCTCTTATTTAAAATACACATTCTCCTTCTTCCTCTTCTAAATTGAATCTTTTGGTCTTAGTTAACGATCTTGGGCTAGCAGAAGGTTTCTCGATTATACCTTTCTTCTGCTTTTCTCTACACCAAAGGAATATCATTCAAAAGTAAAGAACCAGGTAGATTCATGAAATTTGAGGTTGATGGTGTTGGGGTTATTTGCCCTGATTTCTTACCATAAATAAGTTTTCCTTTTAGGAAAAGATTTTAATATTTTGACTAGTCCTTTTCTTGTAGGAAAGGTTTTAGGACTCTATAAATATAGGCTTGTTCCTTCTAACTTATTAGCATTCACAATGTAGTCCTAGGGTTTTGAGAGTTGCGATTATGGGGGAGAATTTTGTGTACCTCCTTGTATTCCGAGTGAATTGTTTGAGGTTGTTTCTCTCTATATTTTGTACTCTCATATTAATAGTGGATTGCTCATCTCCTTTGTGGACGTAGGTCGATTGACCGAACCACGTTAAATCTGTCTCTTTTGGTGTGTTTCTCGTTTGTCTTCTTACTTGTGGTCTTTCGAGGTTTGCTTTGCTAGCTTCCGCATTACACCTGCTTATTTCGGTCCTAACAGATGGACACTTAAGGGTTGTATCACTGGGAAGGATCATCTTGGACAGGGGATGAACTATTGACAGACTCCATTGCAGACTGCGGATATCCAACTGTGTGCGGGAATTACAATGAGAAGTTTTGCTTTTTGATCGATGGAAACGAGAGAGACGTGAATTGTTGTGTGTTTGTGAGTTTCTAAGGCAATCCAAATTTGATATTTTATAGCCCAACAGAAGTTGTAACCTAGTCAATGAGAAGACAATCACGAAGATTAGACTCATACGTCGTTGGATGATATAGCAAATCAACGGGTGGATAATGATGTTGATACATTTAATTGCTTTCAAGGATTATGATGACTTTGTTGAAAAAAGAAAGATTGTATATGATTAATTTATTTTTTTTTAAAAAGGATTATAATGAGTTTGTTGCCAAAAAAAAAAGATTATCATCATAATCCCTTTCTTTTTGGCTACAAACTCATCACAATCCTTTTTTTGGGCAATAAATTAACTATAATTCTTTTTTTGACAACAAACTCATCATAATTCTTACAGGGTTAAATGTTACATGTGTTAGCATCATTATCCACCGTTGATTAGTTCTTTCATCCTATGAAGTATAAGTTCAATCATCGTGATTTTCTTTTCATTGGTTGGGTTATAACTCGAGCTATAACATATCAAAGTGGGATTGCATAGGAACTCACTTCCACACAACAACTCACTTCTCTCTCGTTTCTATCGATCAAAAAACAATTATTTTTTTTGGAGTAGAGGAAAAATAACAAATGAGAGGCAAAGGAAAAACCTTGGTTCCGTTTCTACAAAAAAAAAGTCTCATCCCGCAACAGCAAAGCCGGTCTCGAATTCCCAGTTGGTTATATCGCCCGGTTCCTCAAAGCCGAAAAGTACGTCAAACGTGCCGGTGACAAAGCTCCGGTCTTCCTTGTTGCTGTGCTTGAGTACCTTGAAGCTGAGGTGAATTTTGTTACTATTTCTTTTTTGATATCTCAAGTATTTGAATTTTACATATTTGTGATTGTTTGTAGGTACGTGCTTGAATTGGCTGGAAACGCGGCGAGGAGTAACAAGAAGACGAGGATCATTCCAAGGCACATTCAGTTGGCTGAATGTGCCTTGGAATGATCCTCGTCTTCTTGTTACTCCTCGCCGCGTTTCCAGCCAATTCAAGCACCCACAAAACAATCCAGATATGTAAAATTTAGAAAATTGAGATATCCAAAAAATAAAATAGTAGCGAAATTTACGTGTTGCTCAAGGATTCAAGCACAACATCAAGGAAGACCAGAGCTCCAACACGACACATTTGGCATACTTTCTGGCTTTGAGGAATCAGGCGAGACGACTGATTGGGATTGGAGACCGGCTTTGCTGCTGCGGGAGCGAGACCATTTTGCAGCAATGGAACCAATGGTTTTTCCTTTACCAAGCATTTGTTATTTTTAATCTACTGCAAAAAAAAAAAAAAAAAAAAAAGAGAAGAAGTTTTGCTTTTTGATCTATGGAAACGGAAGAAAAGTGAATTGTTGTGTGTATGTGAGTTCCTAAGGCAATCCGACTTTGATATTTATAGCCCACAGGAGTCATAACCCAGCCAATGAGAGATAATCACGAGGATTGAACTTATACGCCGTTGGATGAAAAAGCAAATCAACGGTGGATAATGGTGCTGACACATTTAATTGTTTTCAAGAATTATGATAATTTTATTGCAAAAAAAGTATTATGATTAATTTGTTGCCAAATAAAAGGATTATTCATTTGGATATTAAACCTCAGATCATTCTTGTTGACCATTTTGTGTTTTTCATAATTCCTTATTATTAATAATACAATTTCAGTCTTACTATAGAAATGTTAGTTTTTTTTTTTGGTAAGTAAAGATTTTATTACTACCAAGTGATAATTACAAAGCAAAAAAAACTGGCAGGCAATGGACAACCCCATGTCTGCATGCTCCAAGACTTCCTCTTCTATCCTATACAAGCAATACTATGTAAATACAAGCTAATTAGGATAGTAATTCAAGCTCTCTAACATCCTCTTTAGCCTACTATATATTGTACCTCTTTTATGTATCTCTTGGACCACTCTTCTCAACAGAATATTAACTTCAATTTTCTGATTTTGAAAGATCCTTACATTCCTCTCATGCCACAAAGCATAGATACTACATGCCAAGGAGAGCCTGTAGATATCTGCAGCTACGCTACCACTATTTGCATGTGTACTAGCCCAGTGAAGCTCCCCTGTCCATCCCATAGCTTTTCTTCTGATCCCTTGCCACATTAGTAGTTTTTCCCATACAGTTGCTGCATATGATCATAGGAAGAATAGATGTTCGATTGATTCATCCTCATTGCAACATAAGGGGCATTTCTTGTCCGCTACCGTCATCCACCTGGCCAATCTGTTTCGTGTGAGCAATCTATTCTTAGTTTTGTTCCCAGTCTAATTTACTTATTGAGTATCATGAGCCATTTCATTTTGAACAGCTGAATGAATTACCTCCTTCTTTTGAAGGTTTGGTTCCACCTGAGTGGGCTCTGTTGGAATGGTTATCGGTATCGATAGAGTGACTCAATGTAATTAGAGGCCTAAAACGAAATTTCAATTGGAAGCCTAATATAAAATCCAAACAAACTTCATATGTATTTATTTGAAATATATTTTTCTTGGACTATTCAAATGCCAATTATTACTTAATATTTTTTTATAAATGATTTCTTTCAAAAAATATTCTATTATTAGTTTTAAATATGATTTTATCAATTCAACATTGAAAAAAAATATTCACTGATGTGATCATGATATGAATGGTTAACATAAATTAAGTAATAAGTTGATAAATTTTAATTAAAGATAAAGAGTTAGAGCATAATGAGGTTAAAAGAGGATAAAATAATATATATTTTTTAAAAAGATACTTTTTATCATAAATAATTAATTTTTATATTAAAAATTGACACATAATTTATTCTTGACAAAAATTTGAGGCCCCTAAAATTGAAGGACTAAGGCATATGCCTTAATTATCAAAGCATAGAGCTGGCACTGGATATTGATTCCCCGGGAGGAGATCCGCCGTCCTCATCCAATTGGGAGCTGGGTGATTTTCAAATATATTCCTACATGGATTTTTTTTCTTAATAAAAAAAAAATATTTTTTTTTTTCATTTCTGTTAGAGGAAAAGGAAAGGGCATATCTATGTGAGCCGCTTCAGCTCTAAATTGGAAAGTTAAAGGGTATATCAAACCCTTTTCTCTTTTTCAATTTTAAAGATTTTATTCTTGAATTTCACATATTTTCGCTTCCGTGTTATTTTCTTTATTTTTATTCAAGTCATGCTATTGTTGTCAGCTTTATTGGGGTTTATCAGTATTAAAATGCTATTGTTGTCACAAATGTTAGAATTTTGTTATATTTTTCTTCCTTTTAACTCTACACTAAGAAAAAGCACAACAACAGGACAAAAAAAAAAACTGATGGTATGAATTTAGTTGTGGCTACAAATTGAGAAATCGAAACCAATCGAATTCTGAGGATTTGAAACCACAATTTTTCGAAGAAAAAACTACTCGAATAAAACGATGAATTTTAAGACATAGTGATCAATCAAGCAGAGCCTTCTTTCTGATAAAAATAGTACAATGGTGGCCAGTCTACTCATCATTTCTTCACAGCATCTGATTAGTTGTCAACCTCCTGAAACTTTTATCACCAATTCCTCCATTTCGTGGATCAATAGCCGCGCCCGCTCCTATGTAGTGAATTCCACAAATGGAGCCACACTGACACCCATCCTATCTCGAGAAGGGAACGAGACTCTGTTTGTCTGTGGTTTCTTATGTGATTACAATGGTACTGCTTGCGTTTTTGGCGTCCTTTTATTCCCAAAGATCAGTAACAATAATTCTTATCTATATTACGCGAGATTAGTTTGGTCAGCAAATCGGAATAATCCAGTTAGAGATAATGCAACCTTGCAACTTAGGCAAGATGGAGGTTTATTCTTGATGGACTCAGATGGCACTTTGATTTGGAGTACAAGCACAAGCACAAGAGGAAAGGTTGTTACGGGATTCAAATTGACAGTACTGGGAAATATTGTTCTCTTTGACAAAAGTAACGACATCATTTGGCAGTCTTTTGATCATCCTACAGACACTTTGGTTCCTGGACAAATGACAAATGCTGGACAAAAGCTGAGATCCAGTGTATCAGCAGCAAATTGGAGTGAAGGTTTGTTCACATTTGAAGTTCAACTATTTGGCTTTTTAGCATACATTGAGTCAAATCCACGTCAACTCTATGTCTCAAGACTTGGTGGGGATAAAGGTTCCCCGTTTTCTGGACTAATCTTTGATTCGAAAATAATTATTTTCAACGGGACATTAATCCTAAATTTTGCATTTTCAAATCCTAGATTGATGAGGTTTGGTGATGATGGGCATTTAAGGGTGTATCACTGGAGAGGATCTTGGTTAGAGGAGGCTGATCTATTGACAGACTACATTGGTGAGTGTGGGTATCCAACCGTGTGTGGGAATTACTCTGTTTGTGCAAATGGGCAGTGCACTTGTCCTCAAACCGCGGTTGATCAGACTAACTTTCTCCAGCAAATAAATTACAGGCAGCCAAACCAGGGGTGTGTCCTTATAACACGTATCTCTTGTGAACATTCCCAATATCATATTTTGATGGAGCTTAAGTACATAGCTTATATTCCCCTCTATTTGCAATATGGTACCAATAAGACCACTTTTTTCATCAAGGTGCAGAGCTCTTCTAACTTACAAGCCTCTCCATCACTTGTCTCTTCAGAGAAGAAATCAAAGCGTGTCTCAGCAATTGTAGGATCCACCATCGGAGCTTCATTTGGTTTGCTTCTCATGGTTTTAACTTGCTTTGCCTATATTTTCAGAAGGAGAAAAGGGCTCGAGGAAGACGAGGAGGAGTTCCTTGATCAAATACCAGGAATGCCTACTAGATTTTCCTATGAGGAACTCACTGTGATGACTGAAATTTTCAGTGAGAAACTTTGGGAAGGGGGATTTGGTTCTGTATTTGAAGGAACAATGAGTGATGGCACCAAAATAGCGGTGAAGCGTCTGCAAGGTTTTGGTAATGTGAAGAAATCATTCTTAGCTGAGGTAGCAACAATCGGTAGCATTCAGCATGTCAATTTGGTGCAACTTGTTGGATTTTGTGCTGAGAAATCACTTAGACTTCTGGTTTATGAATATATGGCCAATGGCTGTTTAGATAGGTGGATTTTTCATGGAAAGCAGGAACGATCTCTCAAATGGGATATCAGGAAAAAGATCATATCAGACGTCGCCAAGGGCATAGCTTACCTACATGAAGACTGTAACAACAAAATTATTCATTTGGATATTAAACCTCAGAACATTCTTCTTGATCATAATCTCAATGCAAAAGTATCAGATTTTGGGTTATCAAAGCTTGTGGGGAAAGATGAAAGTAAGATAGTTACAACAATGAGAGGAACACCAGGCTATTTAGCACCTGAATGGTTACATGAGGTCATTACTGAGAAAGTGGATGTTTATAGCTTTGGGGTTGTGATCTTGGAAATCATCTGTGGCTGGAAGAATTTGGATCGTCATCAAGATGAGGATGATATGCATTTGCTTAGTTTGTTCATGAGAAAGGCAGAGGAGAGACAACTCTTGGAAATGGTGGACAAGAAGAGCGAAGACATGCAGCTACATAGAAAAGATTGCAGCCTGGTGTTTACAAAGTGATTATACTAAGAGGCCTTCCATGTCATTGGTAGTTAAGGTGTTTCAGGGTTTAGTGGCTGCTGAAACCGACTTGGATTACAGCTTCACATTTCCAACAATGACGAGAAGAGTTGCCGGAACTAATCAAGAAAGGGAATCTGTGGTTGGTATCAGTTTTCCACTTCCATCACAGTTGTCAGGACCTAGGTAAATTCTTAGTAGTATTTATCATCAAGACTGAATAGCTAATAAGTCACAGCCATATGTCCATACCTTTGAGTTATCACTTGTTATTTGCTGCGAAAAGCCATTTTGTGTTTTTCATGATCCTTATTATATCAATACTATTTCAGAAACATCATATATATATTATTATAATTAGTGGGAAGCTTCAAAAGTGAAAAGTTAGATTACCATTTTATCCCTACACTAAATCAAATATTTAATTAATTAAATAATAAATAGTAAAATTTAAATTAACTAAGACTAAATACACGTTCTAGGGTGAGTTAATAATCAAACATCTAATTAATTTAATAGTAAATAGTAAAATTAAAATTACCTCAAGGGTTTATAGTAAAATTTTTAAAAGTTTGAAGACTTAATTACACATTTTAAGTAGGTTACATAAGAAGTTTAACAGTCCTATTTCTAGGTTTACTTGCATTTCTATATTAATGCTCCACATTTTTTAAAGGTGTGCAGTTTTTTTTTAATCATCTGCTTCTTTCTAAAGTAAATTTTCTATCCCAACGTTCTCAAGGCTGAATTCTAGGAGTAAGAATTAAAGGAAATTTCTGACAAAGAAAGAGAAAAATTATCAAGTGACTTCACACTTTTCTCTACTTATATGAAGTATAGATTAAACATTATCCATAAATGATATTAGCGGAAGAAACTCAAAGGACTAAGCAAATAATTCAATGCTTGGAATGTGAAAAGATATATTTTAGATAATATCAATTGTACTTGTATGTATTGCCTAGAATAATTACTGGTATATGAAAAGACCCCCCATTTACCAGATTAATGCTACTGATTTTATTTATTTGATTTATTACAAAGGTATTAAAAGTGTATTATTATATATGAATGAATTAATATTAAATTAATAATTAATGAGATGGTTTGTAATTACCTTATTTATTACTAATTACAATGATTTATATTTTTCATCTTCTTATCCACTCAAACTAGACTAGATTCCACGTTCAAAGCAGTAATTAGTGGCAATGTTAATTTTATTACTTTAGTCTAATTATGATTTGTATTTTTCATCTTCCCATCTATATATTAAAAGACTATTATTTAGAACTGAAAATAGAATTTGAACAGACATTTTCACTACTATTTAAGAACTGGATGATAACCATTGAAAAATGAAAGAAACTCATGTCATTCAACTTGAAAAGAGGATAATAAAAAAAACTATCGCATCTATATATGATAGGCAAAAAAAGACAGGAAGAAATGGTATAAAGGAGTAAATAGAATACATGGGAGAAGACTTCTTTTTAGATATGCCTAAGTCCTCATAACTCTTTCTGTTCTCCATTAGGAAGATTATTGTTTTTTATAATTTCTTTTGCATTTCTAATGAACTCATTGTGGTGTTGTGATCTTTTAGCTATTATTATGAGCTTTTGAAATAGTTGTATGTATGAAGTCCAGTTTGTTAATTCTTTATCTGTTACTTTTATATTTTGGATGTAATTGCTTTTTAATCTTGTAAAATTTTGAAAGTGTATCTTCATGTATTCTTTGATTAGCCTTTTAATTCTAGGACTTTACTTAAATAATACAAATATTTCATGCTCCGTTTCTCATTAAAATAAAATAGGCAATCTTGTCAATAAGCCTGCATGATTTTTTTTTATCCATTCATGGCTATAAAAGGTTATCAATGATATTTAGATCATAAAAAAGACTTACACACAGTGACACAGAGTTAAGAGACTATATTATCTTAATTAATTTCACATACTTCTTGCTTGATGCCAAATGCTCAATCCCTTTTTATGTATTTTATTTAATACATGAAATGTAATTGGTAAAATTAATATTGTTGATTTAAGCATTTTCTATTTGATAACACATTTTAAAATTATATAACAATAGTAAGGGATAAACGTGCAACGCACATTACCAGAAACTAGTAGTTGAAGAAACAAATGAGCATACAGAATTCAAAAATCAGTTTGCACAACTACACCAATATTTGCTCACTAGAAAGGCATCACATTTTCTTCCATTCTGTTGACTTCCAACACTATTTTCAGAAGCCAACTTTGACTATAACATACAATGATTTCTCATTTTAAAACACACCTGAACTACTAGTTTTTTGCGAATTTCATATTCAAACTAGAAGTTGTTCCCTTTAACTATCTGAACTATCGCCATCTGTATGTATTAAAAGGCATTCCTTTCTGATTGAATATTTTATGTGTAGTTCAAGTTAAGTATATATCGATGGAAAATTAAAGTTGTTCTCAGCATGACAATAAAACAGTCTCGATCAAAATTTACCTAGGTTTGGCTTGATTCGGTCCAGGCTAGAGCTTGGCCAAGGTCGGACACGAATGAGCCAGCTTGGATTTATGAAATTAGTACTTCAAAATAAAAATCATGTATTCGGCTCAAATATTGATTAAATTGGTACGTTAGTTTAGTAATTACTTTTATTAGTGGAAAAATAACAGAAAGTAAATGAAAGTCATAGTGACCTTGATTTATCTGCAAGGTTGAACAATAATGAAATTGTAACTTGGAAATGGTCAAAATGGTTGTTGACACCCAATTTTGACCCTCCCGATAATAATTTATTTTCGAGCTTCTTAATTTTCAAACGATTTAAAATAATTAGCTTTATATAATTCAAAATAGTTTCAAGGTTATTTTAGGTAATTTCAATAGACTTTTATAGTGTTTTGAATAATAAATATATTCCATATAATTATATATATAACTAGTATATTTTGTAAATATTTGAAAATCATATCAAAAGATTTCTACACTGTTAAAATAATTATTTAATTAATTTAGTTTTGGTTTGAATTATAATTTTAAATTTTGAATTAACTAGTTCGTATTTAAACTAATTATTTTATAGCTAAATTGGTTATTTTATTTCATTAAGATTAAAAAGCTCATAAATTAATTAAATTAATTCTTCCTATTTGAATTCTAGCGGAATCTTCTAAATTTAACTCCTTTTGGTTACCTCTTTAATCCGTTTGGCTAAATTGTTAATTAATTTCTATTGCAATTGTAGCCAAATCTAACTTTTTCTTCAACCCACCTTAAGGGATAGCATTTTTGCCTTTTTCCAATTTCAATTGACGTTCCACCCCCAAAAAAAAATCACGAACCCAAAATATCCCATATATATTTTCCCTCTTATTGACTGTTTGATTGAGGGCAGAGAGAAGAGTGGTAAAAAGAGTTGGAGAAAATATTGGAGGAAAAGTTGGAGCTTTATCGGGCAAAAAATACAAAGGATACTTTTAAGCGAAAAAATATAGGTTAGATATACTCGAAATACTTTCCGGGATAGAGAGCTTGCTCGGATTTCTGTCTAAGTTCCCTGTTCGCTGCTCAAATCGGAACTTGCGTGGTAGAGGTTGTCACTTCCTTGCTCGTTACCGTCTCAGTTCCTGCCCTACGGAAGGTAACATCTCTATCTTATAGCTTTTTTCCTCTCTTTGAATGATATGTGTTTGTTCTGTTTTCCGCTTGACTGGTTTGAATAGTTTTGTTGTCAAATAGTCATGTGTTTAGATACAGTGGTGAAGATAAACTGATGTTAGTAAAATTTTCTTAATGCTATCGATTTCTTTCTTTAGCTATTGTTAGTTACTCTCTTAGTTGGTGTGGTTGTCTTCTCGGATGAAGCTGATATCGCTTTGTGTTCTTTTCTTTGATTTTTCATCTTACTCATAAGTTGTTTGAATCCCCTCTGCGTATCTCTTTTTGTGTCGAAAGCTTGCCCAAAGCATGGTGTTTAAAGTTGCCTATTGTTGATAGTTAAACTACGGTGAAGTGAAGAGCTCGTTTGTCTTTCCGGTTTGCGATCTACTTCCAGTTCTTGTTTCTCTTTTCCCTTTTTTACGTTAATGTTTTGTATACATGATCGCCCATAAGTTTGCTGTCTTATCTCCGTGTTGATGCGGATTTGCTATTCTAGGATTCTAATGTAGTTAAATATTGCGAATCCAGCGCTGAAGTGTTTAGTTTTATGATTTCATTCTCCTCTGTTTAAGCATCGTTTCATTCCAACAAAGTTATCGGCATGTCTCTATCATTGTTCGTCTACGTTTTGAGTTTACTGTCTCTCTATTCGTTGTATAATAGAGTCTATCCGTCTATAATTGTTTCTTCATGTTTAAAATTTGAGGCTATATCGTCTTGAGAATGTGGCAAATGACTGACTGTATTGTGTTATTAGTTCCCTCATTTAAATTGAGTTGATTTTTTTAGTTAAAAGTAGCGTTGATTGAGACAAATATTTAACAAAGTTTCCGGCTTGTTCATTTTATGTTTAAAATAAGTGATTATCATCGTTTCAGAGGTATACTCCTTGGCTGACTTATGCGTTCCCCACAAGTATTTAGGAATTAATTATTTTGATCTTTGATGTAATCTTGCTGTGGTAGTTGCCAAATATGACTTCACTTAATTCTTGTTGTCTTATATTTTTTGGTCTATAACTTGGAGTTTAATTATTGCCTTCAATTAATTGTCAATTTGTCAATAATAATAATAATAATAATAATAATAATAATAATAATAATAATGATAGTGAGCTGGAAATATTGGTCTAAGTTGAAGAATTTCATTACCATGACTTGTTTTTTTTAGTCCCCAGGTCATTTATTTGTATTTTTGCTTTGGCTTTGGTCATTTTTAGGCTATTTGCTGCTTTGTTAAGTTGTAATCGACCGATCATTATTGTCACTTAGTGTTATGGTTTCGAGATATTACTATTGGCTATTAATTCTTATCATCTTTTGCATGTGAAATCTGTCCGAGTTCACTATGAACTCATCTTCCTTCTTGCATTTAGGGAGAGCCGTAAAGGCTCAAATTCCTTTTCGAGTCAGTCAGCCCTAAAAATCGACGAACAGGTCCCGAAGTTGAGAGAAGCAACAAATCAAGAAATTGAAAAAAAATTGGGCCAAATGCCCAATCTTAATTCAAAAATTGTATTTTGTTATTTTGGATCTAAGCCCACTTATTTGCTATTACTTGTTGGTTTTGGGACAGGTGGAGGAATTGGGGCCTGAGGCCCAAAAGAAATATATATATTCTATGTTAGACTAGGATAGGTACCAGTGATTTAAATGGGCCAAAGGTCCAAAACGAAAATGGGCCCAAGTATTGGTTCAGGCAGACAGAAAAACTAAACTTGAGCCCAAGTCTCTTTTCCTCTTTATTTCATTGTGTTTGTGTGCTTGTTAATATGTGAAAATTTCATATATAACATATATTATAGTATTATTTTCGAGCTATAGCAGTAGAGTTTCAGTTTCAAGTTATAGCATTTAAAATTTCAGGTTTTAACAAATTCACCAAAAAGAGAAATGTTTTATTAATTGGAAAAAAACTGTAAAAAAAAAAAAAAAAAAAAAATTGTTTTTTTAAAAAACGAAATTAAAAGACTGAATTTGTGGGTTGTTATTTAATTTGAAATTATTATAGATAATTAATGATTAGCACTAAATAAGGAATCCAAACAAATTAACATTATTTTTTATCCTTAATTAACTCAATTTCGTTAAAATTAAATCTAATCAGATCATTTCCTTCTTTTCATCAAAGTTTCTCTCTCTTGATTCTTCATCCAAAAAAAATAATCTCAGGAACGAATAGTTGAATATTTTTTTCATTGAAAAAAATAATTTTATTGATATGGACAATTGCGTATCAATTTTAATTAAACACGAGGAACATGGGATCAATCGGGTAAGTATTTAGTATTGTTTATTGTTTATTTTTAAGTTGAGTTGAAACGAAAAATTATTTTGTTTAACTGAAAATGTTGTAAAAATGTATAATATTAGTGATTTTAGGTTTTTTGTGATTGTTTTGTGTATTTTTTCTTAAATTATAAAGTGATTGTATATTTGTGAATGAATTTAATAGAATTTTTGGAAAGAAACCTGTAAGAAAAATGTGTTAAGTTATATGTAAACAAAATTATTTGGATTTTTTGACAAATTGTATGACAAGTGGTTTTAGTTGGTATTAAATTCTAAATTTTACTGGATCATATTAGATGTTGTCATCGCTGAAGAAATTAGTGAGTTAGAAATTAATTATCTGATACAATTGAAAAAATGTATTTGTAATGAATGAGTAATTGTTGTATGAAATGTGTATTAAGTGTGTTTGAACGTTGGTATGATATAAGCTGTCTTTGCGACATGTGTATGAAATGTATATTAAGAAAGTATGAATTTCGTTTGTAGTCGTGTCTGGCGAAATATATGAAAAGTTTTTTTAATGTTGTATTGATGGTGAAATTTTATGTAGATATTTGTGTATAAAGTTTTTTGTTATTAAATAATTATTTGTTGTATGATTTATGTATTATAGTAGTATGAAAGTGCTTGGAATGTACTATTTGAATGATATTTGTAAGAATTGTTTATTTAAATAAATATAAAAATTGTTTTGTAATATTCTGTCTGTATGAATGATATTTATATTTCAAATTGTTTGTTTATAATCTGCTACTTTTTTTTTTAATGAAACAGGGCATTATGTGGATTTTCAAATGGAAGGGGTTTTATATGATTCTTCTAGTCTTTATAGTGGTCTAGTAAGCGTGATAACATCGCAGCTTATGATAGATACTAATATAAATGATTTAGAGATAAAATATTTAGTAGATGATCGATGCCCACCTGTTAGAATACACAATGATGTTGGTGTGCGTGTTTTCTTAGATCAAAATAAAGTTAATTTGGATTTCTTTACTAAATATCCATTGTGCATAACATTGAAGAATATAGCAATGGATAATTCGCATTCTCTAGTTATTGTGAATAGGAGAGTTTCTGATGTTGCTATAACATCAACAAACTTTGATTTATATTCCAACAACGCCATCCGATTAGTAGGAGTGAATTTAGATGAAGTTGTAGATGAAAGTATTGATGAAGACAACGGAGTAATCAGTGACGTTTCTAATTTATTTATAGATGAGAATCAGGTTTACAAGGATAAAGAACACTTATGGAGGTGGCGTTTCTAATTTATTGATGTTGAAAATTCCTTGATTTCGAATCGTAATTCTGTACCATTTATTTTAATAACAAACATGTCGTCTCGGACATTTTGTTTTTCAAGAATCATCATATTCCTAAGTAATTGACATTGGATCTTTATATGGTGCATCTCATAGAATATACCGAAAGGAGTTTGTTCGAGAAATTGTTGAAATCTCTTTTGCCCAAGAACAATCAAAAGATCAGCAAACACATTCATGTTGGTACATGAAGACCAGTGTGTGTGTTTCTTCCTTTCCTATAAAATAACATTATGTTACATTTCATACACACTTCACACCCCATATGATTCAATTTTCATTCAGTTATAATTCTAAAAGCATACAGAACTCAATAGTCCACATTTCATACACACTTCACACCCATAAAATTCAATTTTCATTGCAGCAATACCATAGTTCAAATACCTCACACAATTCATATACAGTATGTTAAGAGACATGACATAAATTATACTCACATTTCACACATACTGCATACATATATTGTTCACATGTACACAAATTTCTTTCCAGCAATAACCATAAGTTTGCATATAAATTATACTCACAGTTCACACAAACTGCATACACATATTATTCACACACTCTGCATATAAAAATTTCTTTCCAACAATAACCCTTAGTTCATATTTCACACACATTTCATACACAATGTTTTATAAAGAAAATGACATACATAATATTCACATTTTCACACACTCTGCATATAAAAATTTCTTTCCAACAATAACCCTTAGTTCATATTTCACACACATTTCATACACAATGTTTATAAAGAAAATGACATACATAATATTCACATTTCACACACGCAATACACATGATATTCACACACAGTTCATACTTTTATCATTCAAAAATTTCCAATGGCACCTATACAATACATAGTATTTAGAAAAAAATCATACATAATTTTGACATTGCACACACACTGTATACAAAAAATTTCAGGGGCACCTATACACTACACAAATTTCTTTACGCAATAACCATAAGTTTACATTTCATACACATTTCAAACACAATGTTTATGAAGAAAATGATATAAATTATATTCACATTTCACACACACTGCATACACATATTATTCACACACACTCCATATAATTTTTTTTTCCAACAATAACCCTTAGTTCATATTCCACACACATTTCATACAAAATGTTTATAAAGAACATTGTATACATAATATTCACATTTCACACACTCCATACACATGATATTCACACACAGTTCATACTTTTATCATTCAAAAAAATTCCAGGGGCACCTATACAATACATAGTAGTTAAAAAAAAATCATACATTATTTTTGACATTGCACACACACTGCATACCAATTTTTTTGACACACACTCCATATACATGTTATTCACAAACACTTCATACTCTTATTATTCAAAAAATACCATGACTACCTATATACTACAGAGTATTTAAATTATATCATACAATTTGATAACAATGTTACTAGCATGTCAATGTTGTATCATTAATAATAAATTTCAGAAAAATAAAAACTTTGAAAACAACATAATAATAATGTGATATAACAAATGTTGGGGTTTTGGTAATTCATGTTCATCCTTTTTTGTTTTTATTCTTGAAGAAGGTTTTGATGTTTCAAGAACATCAACATTTGTTGATTTTTTTGTTTTCTTCTTTTTCTTTGAGCAACAAAATCGGAATCTGAGTCTGAATCAAACTTTGGAGGAGTTTCAACATGTTTTTTCCCTTTCCTCTTGTTTCCCCTTCGATTTGTCGGAGTCGAACTTTGATTTGCTTCATTAATTTTGTCTTTTCGATTCTTCGAACGAGATGGACCAACATTGGCAGGAATTTCAACAGATTTCTGAGGGGGAGTTTCAGACAGTATGTTAAAAGGATGTAGCATGAGCATCATCGATTAAGGTGTCATCAAATCTGGGGCTCTTTCTTGGAGTTTCCATCGATTTCTGAGACATGATTAATCGGTTTGATTTTGATTTTGGAGTGTTGGTGGGTTTTGGCGGTTTGATTTTGGAGAAGATGAGAAACAATGGAGAGAGAATGATAGTGGGTGGTGGGTTGAGGCGTGTGTGAGTGAAGAAACGTGTGGGGGTGAGGGTGGGGTGTACGATTGGTGAGGGTAACAGTAAACATGGAAAAGATATTGAGTAAACCCCTAAATTTGGGTAACTGACATTTTTTTTTAAAAAAAAAGTAAAAAACAAATTAATTACCTATTATTAATTAATATTAAAAACCTATAAATATATTAATGATTTATTAAATAAATATAATTTAACTTTAAAATAAAAATAATTTTAACTGATATGTCATAACCATTAAACATTCTGTTATAATCAAGAAATTTTTAATAGTAGGGTTAAAACTCATAATATTTACTCTTAAATGTGTATATGAGATGATTTTTCCTGTTAATATTTGTCGCTAATCTTAAGGTCGAAAAATTCAAATCCCCGAAAGACGCCCATTTTGATTTAACAATTTAACTAAATCAGTCATCGTTTAACAAGATTTAAAGAATTTTTTTTGCAAATTATCTCATTTAGATAGTATTTCCGTATTTCCCCTTGTCCCCTTTAAAATGGTCCTAATTATAATAATTGCTCAATTCAAATTAAGCTAATTTTTAGTCAAATAATTAATTGTCGGATAATCGCATATTAGCGGGCATTTCGGGTGCTTTCAAACCCTTCCCGAAATGCTAATAAGAACCTCGAACCCCTTTTAAGTTTTCATTAGATTTATGTTTTAGTCTTTTGAAAACAATAGTTTTCTTAATTTTACTTTAAAATTAATAGGCGACTCTTAAATCAGTCTAATTATATTTTCCTAATAAAACAATGGTCCCATTAGTGGAAAGATAGAGCCCAGACCCATTATTTTCCTTTGTACCGAACACACTCATAGTTAGTTTGAAAAAAAAAATAGCACATTGAAAAGGTTTTTTTGAGGCCCACTCTATATTGAATGGGCAAAGATTTAAGATATTCTGTACATTGGAACATCAATTTTGACTTGGGACTTTGGAATATATGGCACATCCCATTAAGTATGTACAAGACTTGACATGAACCTTAATGAGGAGGAAAGTGCCCAACAGTTCCAAATTAATTGTTAGTAACAATTTGTAACATTACTTGGGATCTCTTAATTTTGTTGAGAAAAATAATGTTACGTAATTAGAAACATGGGTTGCATGTTTATCCCAAACAAGAATGTATTGATCCCAACTTTCATACAAGTTCAGAATTTGATATTGTGCAGCATAAAAAAATGGGAAAATGCATAAGTACCCCCAGCCTATGCCCGAAATCCCAGAGACACACCTAACCTTTACTAAGGTCCTATTACCCCCCGAGCTTATTTTATATGTAATATTCTACCCCTTTTTGGCCTACGTGGCACTATCTTGTGGGCCCAGTGCATGTTGACAAATTTTTCAAGGATAGTACCATGTAGGCCGAAAAGGGGTAGAATATTATAAATAAATTAAGTTCGGAGAGGTAATAGGACCTTAGTAAAGGTTAGGTGTGTCTCTGGAATTTCGGGTATAGGCTGAGGGGTACTTATGCATTTTCCCTAAAAAAATTGTTATATAGAAATAAGAGATTCTTAACAAACATGATGAAAAATCGAACTTATCACATATAATTACAGATTTACAGTTATATCTTGTCCTGCGATTATGATGCCACCAAAATTTTGTCCTTTAGCGTTCTAAGTAATAAAAACCCAGAAAAAGATACCCTTAATATTAAAAAAATAAAAATAAATCGAAAGGTAAAAATAATTAACAAGGCATAAGTTTAGTTTTAAAATATTATAGCCTGAGAAGTTGATACGTTGAACTTATGTTCCGATTTTTTTTTTGCCTTACACATAACTTGTGTCTTAGAGAGAAGTTCATACACTAATCTTATGCCTTAGAGGAGACTGTTACTTGATAGTTAATATCCAGCTCGATGAATCATTAAACAACAATATACTCAGTGTGATCTCACATGTAGAGTCTAAAAAATTGAGACGTTAAGTGGATGAAAGATCACAGAAACTGCACCACTAAGGAAGATGCAAAGATCTAAGTGAAGTCATTTTACCTTGTGATTGAAAGTCATCTAATATTAATTAGATATTATTTTGTACAGTTGAACAATAATTAATAGCCGGTCCCATTCAGAAGAAGACTTGACTTGAACCTGATTGAGGAGGAAAGTGCCATGAATTGCTATTCAATTGTTAGCAACAATTTGTAACATTGCTGTTCAAATTATAATATGAAAGACATTGACATGTAAATGTTACATGATTATCTGCTTACGGATTGTTGCAAATGCTAACATCTGAGTGAATGAAAGGAGTGTTACAGGAACAGACGTTAGGAAAGTAATAACACTTGGAAACAACCGAATTCAGTATTTTTAACACGAAAAATAGATATGTATGTAAAACAAATTGGTAACTTTAGAAACAATAATACATACATTTTGAACCTGTAAATTCTAAAATACAATGAGTTAAGTGGTAAAAACTTAATAGCTGAATCAGTCAAATTAAAATGTGGATCCAGCTTACAGAGTTGCTGGAAACGGTGTTACAAGTCAACAAAAGTTTGCTTAATTTACTTATACATAATACACAACAAGAAGAAGAAAAAGAAGACAGAGGGGTGTAGCAACTAGCGAACCGATACATATAATCTTTCTATTAGCTTTGGCTTTGTTCAGAAAGCAATGATGAAAGAACATAGACAATGTTTTTCCATCTTTTTCTTCATTTATCTTGTCTTCTGTTCTTCTCAATTCGCTATATCCCAACGTTTAGTGAATTTCATTTCTGGTGTTCCCACTTTGTGGATCAACAGGCCATCCATCGGGAGTAATTTCAGTAGACGCATCCTTAATTATACACCCATCCTTCTGGAACGAAATACTGGCCTACAATTCCTCTATGGCTTCTCTTGCAATTTCTATCACACAGAATGCTTTCTTGGTATCTCATTAGTATTATACAACAGCACTGGTGAGACCATTTATATAGAGGGGGGACGGTTAGTTTGGTCTGCTAATCGAGACCATCCAGTGCAAGTCAATGCAACCTTGCAACTAGGCCAAGATGGCAACTTGGTGTTGGCTGATTCTGATGGCACTCTTGTTTGGTCCACTAATACTACCGGCAAATCTGTTTCAGGCTTTAACTTGACGGATATGGGGAATCTCGTGCTCTTTGATACGACCAACCGCACAGTTTGGCAGTCTTTTGATCATCCTACAGATTGTTTGCTCCCCGGGCAGAATTTGGTTTCCGGGCAGAAGCTAACAGCAAGCGTTTCAGCAGACAATTCGAGTCAAGGTTTATTTTCTCTTACTGTTCTCAATGGAAGCTGGGCCACTTACATAAGTTCTGATCCACCTCAGTATTACTCCACTTCAGATTATCCCGATAGTCTTTATTACAGTTTTGATGGTCAAACCCTTACTGCTTTACCATACCCTCCTACATCGATAGCTCAATACATACAGCTTGGGTATGATGGACATTTACGCGTATACCAATTGGACAACCTTGAAAATAATATGCTCGGCCTTAATTGGAAAGAGGTAGGTGACATTTTGACACTCTCTGACTGTCGCTACCCAATGGTGTGTGGGAGATACAGCATTTGTGCAAATGGAGGACAATGTACTTGCCCAGTTGAAGTTAACTTCTTCAAGCCATTTTCTGAGAGGAATCCAGATCTCGGATGCACAGAGTTGACGCCCATTTCTTGTGACTCTTCACAGTATCATAGTCTTGTAGAGCTAAAGGATACTGCATATTTTTCATTTGGGTTCAATTATGAACTAAACTCGAGCGTATTTTGGCTTGAGGGGAAAAAGATTGAAGATTGCCAAAGGGCATGTCTGAGTAACTGTTCTTGCAAAGCTGCTGTTTATTATCCGTCTTTCAATTTGAATCTACTACGAGGGGACTGTTTGTTACTGAATGAAGTCTTCTCTCTGATGGACGTTGGAGTAGGAACAGTTTTTCTTAAGGTGCAGAATTCCCCAAATGCACCGGTCATTTTCCCTAGACAGAAAATGCCTTTCAAAGTTATCATAGGATGTACTTTGATTGGGATAATTTTGATTCTTTCAGTTTGTTCTGCTCTTTCCAAAAAGAGATCGGAGAAACGCAAAGCTGGTGATTTTCTGGATCTAGAACCAATCTTACCGGGAATCCTAACTCGATTCTCTTACAATGAGCTGAAAATAATTACACAAGATTTCAGCATAAAGCTCGGGAAAGGAGGATTTGGCTCTGTATATGAAGGAACACTGAGCAATGGCACCAAAATAGCTGTGAAGCATCTGGATGGTGTAGGTCAAGTAAAGGAATCATTCTTAACAGAAGTAAAGACAGTCGGTGGCATTCACCATATCAATCTGGTAAAACTCATTGGATATTGTGCCGAAAAAAGCCACAGGCTTCTAATCTATGAGTACATGGTGAATGGATCGTTGGATAGGTGGATTACGCAAGAAAATGGGCTTACCTGGCATAAAAGGCAAATGGTAATATCAGATATTGCTAAAGGGTTAGCTTATCTACATGAGGATTGCAGCCATAAGATAATTCATTTGGACATTAAACCACAAAACATCCTTTTAGATCAAAATTTCAATGCTAAGATATCTGATTTTGGTCTGTCGAAGCTAATTGAGAAAGACAAAAGCAAAGTTGTGACTAGAATGAGAGGAATGCCGGGGTATATAGCCCCTGAATGGTTGAGCTCAATAATCACTGAAAAAGTTGATGTGTATGCTTTTGGAATTGTGCTCTTGGAAATTCTCTGTGGACGAAAGAATTTGGACTGGTCCCAAACTGATGAAGAAGATGTCCATTTGCTAACTGTTTTTACGAGAAAAGCAGAACAAGAGCATCTCACAGATATGGTTGACAGAAACGAGGATATGCAGCTCCACAGAGAAGCAGTGACAGAAATGATGAGCCTTGCTGCGTGGTGTCTACAGGGCGATTTCTCCAAGAGGCCTTCCATGTCATTGGTGGTTAAGGCACTCGAAGGTTTGGTGACTGTTGAAACCAACTTAGATTATAATTTCAGAAATGTACCTAAGGTTGGGGCAGGCAACCAACCGAGGGAAGCCGCTATCAGCTCAAAATTGCCATCAGTTTTATCGGGACCGAGGTAAACAGTATGTCTAATTCTAGCACAAATTCTTACGGTGTATTAGATTACAATTCATGAATGTAATATTCAGTAACTTTGCATCAGATTTTTTGAGTTTCATGTTATTATCATGTAGAAGCTCCTCAATTCATATGCGACAGGAGATATAATATTGCATTAGCTTTTCCTCATTTTTTGTAAGGGAAGTATCAAGACTCGAGAACATCATGAATCGGATATCGAGGGCCAGATGCTCTGCCAATTACAGAAACAAAAAATTATCTTAAACATGATTGTATGGTATTCATACTGTTAAAATAAATTCAGTTTAAATTGGGAAAAGACTCAAATATGTCACGGAACTATTAAAAATGTGCCATATGTTAAAAGCTGGCTCATCTATACAAAAATACATCTAGTTCAGCAAAACCATTTTTGCCACGTGCCCTCTTATTAGAGGTTCACGTAATTAAAAAGACTCAATATTTAATTAACACTCGACTTATTTAAATAAAACCCGACCCATCTCCTAACCCATTTCCCTTTATCCAACCCACATTATGTACTTGCCAACATTAAAATCATCAAATTCCAATATTGAAAGTTATAACTTGGAAATGGTCAAAATGGTCCCGTCAGTGGAAAGATAGAGCCCAACCCCATTATTTTCCTAAAGAGTATTTTCCTTCGTACCGACCACACAAACACACTCATAGTCAATTAAGTTTGAAAAAAAATAGCACATTGAAAAAGTTTTTTGAGGTCCCTCTGTATATTGACTGGGCAAAGATTAAGATATTTTGTACATTGGAACATCAATTTTGACTTGGACTTTGGAATTTAGGGCACATCCCATTCAGTACAAGACTTGACATGAATCTTAATGAGGAGGAAAGTGCTCAACAATTCCAAATTAATTGTTAGTAACAATTTGTAACATTACTTGGAATTACATGGAATGTTGTAGACATTCTGAAATTGCACTTGTCTCGAGATATGACGAGGCACAAACACTGTCTTGCCAATATTAGTTATTGGTATTCTTGAATTATTTTCCATCACCATTACTCGATCGCCTTTATATTTGCTTATGTTCATCAAATTTTTCTCATCACCATCACCGGTCATGTGATTGGAACATCCCGAATCAACTTTAATTAAATCATTTGGCTTAAATATACCATTGAACTTTGAAAAAATGTTCATCTGTGACCTGACTGATTTAATTTCACGAAGATTTCCGTTAATATAAACCTAAGCTATTTGTATTAAAAAAATGGACAAAGACCAAACCTGATAAGTTTCTGAATACTTAAAGAACTAAAATCGGTAAGTTTATAGTTAAGGGACTAAAACCGGCAACTGTATAATTGAGGGACCAAAGTTGATAAGTTTTTCAATAGTTAAAAGACTAAATCCGTTAAGTGTATAAGTTAATGAGCCATTTTAGACCTACTCCTATAGTTAAGGGACTATTTATGTCATTTTCTCTACAATGATTTCTCATTTTAAAACACACTTGAACTTCTATTTTTTCGCGAATTTCATATCCAAACTAGAAGTTGATCCCTTTTACTATCTAAACTATTGCCATCTATATGTATTAAAAGACATTCCTTTCTAATTGAATATTTTATGTGTAGTTCAAGTTAAGTATATATCGATTGAAAATTAAAGTTGTCCTCAGCATGACAATAGAACAGTCTCGATCAAAGTTTACCTAGGTTTGGCTCGATTAGGTCCACGCTAGGGCTTGGCCAAGGTCGGACACGAATGAGCCAGCTTGGATTTATGAAATTAGTACTTAAAAATAAAAATCATGTATTCGGCTCAAATATTGATTAAATTGGTACGTTAGTTTAGTAATTACTTTTATTAGTACAGTAATAACAGAAAGTAAATGAAAGTCGTAGTGACCTTGCTTTATCTGCAAGGTTGAACAATAATGAAATTATAACTTGGAAATGGTCAAAATGGTCCCATTAGTGGAAAGATAGAGCCCGGCCCCATTATTTTCCTTCGTACCAAACACACTCATAGTCAGTTTGGAAAAAAAAAATAGCACATTGAAAAAGTTTTTTTGAGGTCCTCTCTTTATTGACTGGGCAAAGATTTAAGATATTCTGTACATTGGAACACAAATTTTGACTTGGGACTTTGGAATATATGGCACATCGTATTCAGTACAAGACTTGTCATGAACCTTAATGAGGAGGAAAGTGCCCAATAATTCCAAATTTATTGTTAGTAACAATTTGAAACATTACTTGGGATCTCTTAATTTTGTTGAGAAAAATAATGTTACGTAATTAGAAACGTGGGTTACATGTTTATCCCAAATAAGAATGTATTGATCTCAACTTTCATACAAGTTCAGAATTTAATATTGTGCAACATAAAAAAATGGGAAAATGCATAAGTACCCCCCCAGCCTATGCCCAAAATCCTTGAGACACACCTAACATTTACTAAGGTCCTATTACCCCCCCCCCCCCCCCCCCCGAACTTATTTTTTTATTAATTTTTTACCACTTTTCGGCTTACGTGGCAATATAAACCAAATAGGTTGAAAGCTTTGTTCAACACGCGCCGGGCCCCAGTTTTTCAACTTTCTAAAAAGTAGCTTTTACACTTTCCAAAATTTCAAAAAGCTATCACTTTATGTTTTAGATAAAAATATTATTTATAATCTACTTTGTTAATATATTTTTAGTTAGTTTATAGTTTTCAATGTTTATATATTTTATTTCAAATTTGGGCATGTAAAATTTTGTAAATATTATATATATAATTTTATTTTATTTATAGATTAAAAAATTTATTTATAATCTACTTTGTTAATATATTTTTAGTTAGTTTATAGTTTTCAATGTTTATATATTTTATTTTAAATTTGGGCTTGTAAAATTTTGTAAATATTATATATATAATTTTATTTTATTTATAGATAAAAAAATATAACTTATAATCTACTTTGTGAATATATTTTAAGTTAGTTTATAGCTTTCAATGTTTATATATTTTATTTCAAATTTGGGCTTGTAAAATTTTGTAAATATTATATATATAATTTTATTTTATTTATAGATAAAAAATATTATAACTTTGTTAATATATTTTTAGTTAGTTTATAGTTTTCAATGTTTATATATTTTATTTCAAATTTGGGTTTGTAAAATTTTGTAAATATTTTTTTTTTTTTTTTTTTTTTTTTTTTTTTGAAATTGCCATCATCAAGGTTTGTCACCCGATGTCAGGGGTCTGGCTAGACCCATGTCTTTCCCATTCATTCAATATAATTTTATTTTATTTATAGATAAAAAATATTATAACTTTGTTAATATATTTTTAGTTAGTTTATAGTTTTCAATGTTTATATATTTTATTTCAAAAAAATATATTTTGTACTCATGTGAATTTTACCGTCTTTACGAAAATTTCATTTAACGTTTCTTAAGTTTAGATTATCACACAGGTAGGTGAAAATATATTTGATCTCTTTTTCAAACACCGTTAAGTTGTAAAAAATCGAAAAAAACAGAAAGAACCGACTAAAACCAAAACTGAAAAAACTGACTTTGCGTGGTTTGATTTGATATTTAGATTTAATAAACCGACATAATTGGTTTAGGTTTTTTTTAATGAAAAACCAAACCAAACCGACTTATGTACACCCCTACTTCTAAGTCATCAAGAATCATGGTTGAGTTCAAAGGTTAGTTTTTTCTTGATTTTATTTTGTTATCTTTTCGAAGAAAGGAGCAATTTAACTTATGATAATGGAGGTTTTTTTTCCAAACATGAAGAACAATAATAAAGAAGAAGACAATTGAGTTAATATTTATTTTTTTCAAGTTTATTTTAACACATGACCAATTTTTATTGGTCAGTGTTGTCTAAAAACTGCACCCACGCGCCTAACATAGGTGAAGTCACGGACTCAGCCACGTAGGCCGAAAAGTGGTAAAGAATTAACTAAAAAATAAGTTTGGGGGGGGGGGGGGGGTAATAGGATCTTAGTAAAGGTTAGGTGTGTCTCAGGGATTTTGGGCATAGGCTCGGGGGGTACTTATGCATTTTCCCTAAAAAAATTGTTACCAACATAATGAAAAATCGAACTTATCACATGTTATGAACCAAGTCCAACCCAATAGGAATACCAAGATCACACAAATAGTTGTTGGGCTGGCAAGACCTATTGGGCTGAGAACAAGCAATTGGGCCAGACTATGTTTGGGATTCAGGTTGATAAATACGACTTGAGATGCAAATTGGACTTATGCAAATTGTGAAAGAAGTTGTCTGTTATTCTCATCTTTTATCTTCTTCTGTATCTCATCTCTATCTTCTTCTTCTTAATTGTTCTTCCTTACCAGTTGTTATTTTCTTGTAATTCCAGTCAGTGATTGCAATACTACAAAAGTTCCCTTGGTTATTATTGAGTTTTGTTACATCACATATAATTACATTTACAGTTATATCTTGTCCTGCAATTATGATGCCACCAAAATTTTGTCCTTTAGCGTTCTAAGTAAAAAAAAAACCCAGAAAAAGATACCCCTATTATTAAAAAATAAAAATAAATCGAAAGGTAAAAAATAATTAACAAGGCATAAGTTCAGTTTTAAAATATTATAGCCTGAGAAGTTGATACGTTGAACTTATGTTCCAGTTTTCTTTTTTTTGCCCTTTTACATAACTTGTGTCTTAGAGAGAAGTTCATATACTAATCTTATGCCTTAGAGGAGATTGTTACTTTGAGATACAAGATACATTAATATCCAGTTCGATGAATCATTAAACAACAATATACTCAGTGTGAGATCACACTTAGAGTCTAAAAACTTAAGACGTTAAGTGGATGAAAGATCACAGAAACTGCACCACTAAGGAAGATGCAAAGATCTAAGTGCAAGTCAATGCAACCTTGCAACTAGGCCGAGATGGCAACTTGGTCTTGGCAGACTCTGATGGCACTCTTGTTTGGTCCACTAATACTACTGGCAAATCTGTTTCTGGCTTAAACTTGACAGAAACAGGGATTCTCGTGCTCTTTGATACGACCAACCGCACAGTTTGGCAGTCTTTTGATCATCCTACAGATTGTTTGCTCCATGGGCAGAATTTGGTTTCTGGTCAGAAGCTCACAGCAAGCGTTTCAGCAGGCAATTCGAGTCAAGGTTTATATTCTCTTACATAAGTTCTGATCCACCTCAGTATTACTCCACTTCAGAAAATCCCGATAGTCTTTATTACAGTTTTGATGGTCAAACCCTTACTGCTTTACAATACCCTCCTACATCGATAGCTCAATACATACAGCTTGGGTATGATGGACATTTACGCGTATATCAATTGGACAACCTTGAAATAAGTTTGTTCGGCCTTAATTGGAAAGTGGTAGGTGACATTTTGACACTCAATGAATGTGACTACCCAATGGTGTGTGGGAGATACAGCATTTGTGCAAATGGAGGACAATGTACTTGCCCAGTTGAAGTCAACTTCTTCCAGCCATTTTCTGAGAGGAATCCAGATCTCGGATGCACAGAGTTGATGTCCATTTCTTGTGACTCTTCACAGTATCATAGTCTTGTAGAGCTAAAGAATACTGCATATTTTTCATTTCGGTTCAATGATGAACTAAACTCGAGTGTATTTTGGCTTAAGGGGAAAAAGATTGAAGATTGCCGAAGGGCATGTCTGAGTAACTGTTCTTGCAAAGCTGTTGTTTATGATCCGTATCTGAATGTGAGTCTACTACGAGGGAACTGTTTGTTACTGAATGAAGTCTTCTCTCTGATGGACGTTGGAGTAGGAACAGTATTTCTTAAGGTGCAGAATTCCCCAAATGCACCGGTCATTTTCCCTAGACAGAAAACACCTTTCAAGGTTATCATAGGATGTACTTTGATTGGGATAATTTTGATTCTTTCAGTTTGCTCTGCTCTTTCCAAAAAGAGGTCGGAGAAACGCAAGGCTGGTGGTTTTCTGGATCTAGAACCAATCTTACCGGGAATCCTAACTCGATTCTCTTACAATGAGCTGAAAATAATTACACAAGATTTCAGCATAAAGCTCGGGAAAGGAGGATTTGGCTCTGTGTATGAAGGAACACTGAGAAATGGCACCAAAATAGCTGTGAAGCATCTGGATGGAGTAGGTCAAGTAAAGGAATCATTCTTAACAGAAGTAAAGACAGTCGGTGGCATTCACCATATCAATCTGGTAAAACTCATTGGATATTGTGCCGAAAAAAGCCACAGGCTTCTAATCTATGAGTACATGGTGAATGGATCGTTGGATAGGTGGATCACACAAGAAAATGGGCTTACATGGAACACAAGGCAGAGGATAATATCAGATATTGCGAAAGGATTAGCTTATCTACATGAGGATTGCAGCCATAAGATAATTCATTTGGACATTAAACCACAAAACATCCTTATAGATCAAAATTTCAATGCTAAGATATCTGATTTTGGTCTGTCGAAGCTAATTGAGAAAGACAAAAGCAAAGTTGTGACTAGAATGAGAGGAACGCCGGGATATATAACCCCTGAATGGTTGAGCTCAATAATCACTGAAAAAGTTGATGTGTATGCTTTTGGAATTGTGCTCTTGGAAATTCTCTGTGGACGAAAGAATTTGGACTGGTCCCAAACTGATGAAGAAGATGTCCATTTGCTAACTGTTTTTACGAGAAAAGCAGAACAAGAGCATCTCACAGATATGGTTGACAGAAACGAGGATATGCAGCTCCACAGAGAAGCAGTGACAGAAATGATGAGCCTTGCTGCGTGGTGTCTACAGGGCGATTTCTCCAAGAGGCCTTCCATGTCATTGGTGGTTAAGGCACTCGAAGGTTTGGTGACTGTTGAAACCAACTTAGATTATAATTTCAGAAATGTACCTAAGGTTGGGGCAGGCAACCAACCGAGGGAAGCCGCTATCAGCTCAAAATTGCCATCAGTTTTATCGGGACCGAGGTAAACAATATGTCTAATTCTAGCACAAATTCTTACGGTGTATTAGATTACAATTCATGAATGTAATATTCAGTAACTTTGCATTAGATTTTTTGAGTTTCATGTTACTATCATGTAGAAGCTCCTCAATTCATACGCGACAGGAGATATAATATTGCATTAGCTTTTCCTCATTTTTTGTAAGGGAAGTATCAAGACTCGAGAACATCATGAATCGGATATCGAGGGCCAGATGCTCTGCCAATTACAGAAACAAAAATTTATCTTAAACATGATTGTATGGTATTCATACTGTTAAAATAAATTCAGTTTAAATTGGGAAAAGACTCAAATATGTCACGGAACTATTAAAAATGTGCCATATGTTAAAAGCTGGCTCATCTATACAAAAATACATCTAGTTCAGCAAAACCATTTTTGCCACGTGCCCTCTTATTAGAGGTTCACGTAATTAAAAAGACTCAATATTTAATTAACACTCGACCTATTTAAATAAAACCCGACCCATCTCCTAACCCATTTCCCTTTATCCAACCCGCATTATGTACTTGCCAACATTAAAATCATCAAATTCCAATATTGAAAGTTATAACTTGGAAATGGTCAAAATGGTCCCGTCAGTGGAAAGATAGAGCCCAACCCCATTATTTTCCTAAAAAGTATTTTCCTTCGTACCGACCACACAAACACACTCATAGTCAATTAAGTTTGAAAAAAAATAGCACATTGAAAAAGTTTTTTGAGGTCCCTCTGTATATTGACTGGGCAAAGATTAAGATATTTTGTACATTGGAACATCAATTTTGACTTGGACTTTGGAATTTAGGGCACATCCCATTCAGTACAAGACTTGACATGAATCTTAATGAGGAGGAAAGTGCTCAACAATTCCAAATTAATTGTTAGTAACAATTTGTAACATTACTTGGAATTACATGAATGTAGTAGACATTCTGAAATTGCACTTTGTCTCGAGATATGACGAGGCACGAACACTGTCTTGCCAATATTAGTTATTGGTATCCTTGAATTATTTTCCGTCACCATTACTCGATCGCCTTTATATTTGCTTATGTTCATCAAATTTTTCTCATCACCGGTCATGTGATTGGAACATCCCGAATCAACTACCTATCATTTTAATAATCACCAACCAAGCTTTCATTATTTGATCAGGCAGCCCTCCCTGTATATTCAGCGGTTCCACTACTTGCCGTACAGTCAGTGAAACAGGGCAGAAAATGCTGAAAGATGTGATAAGTTTTTAATTTTTTTTTTTGAACGGTGAGGGTCAGGTACGGAGTGAGGTAAGGAAAAAAAAATAATTTGAGGAAAATAAGTTATTTGAAAAGCATTTTCCAAAATATTTAAGCCAATCAAACATGAGAAAACTAAAAAACATTTTCTAGATTGAGAGCTAAAATGAAAAAAGTAAAAGAGAAAGTAAAGATATTTAAAAAAAAAAAAAGAAGGTCAAAGATGATTCTATTTTTGGAGGAAAATTTAGATGGTTTTATAGCCAATAGGGTATTGTGGTCTTTTATCCTTTGTCGTGCCACAAAAAAACCATCGTGCCATTTAGTTTTACCGTATTTTGTACAGTTGAACAATAATTAATAGCCAGTCCCATTCAGAAGAAGACTTGACTTAAACCTGATTGAGGAGGAAAGTGACATGACTTTGTTTTCGATAAAAAAAGGTGACATGACTTGCTAGTCAATTGTTAGTAACAATTTGTAACATTGCTGTTAAAATAATAAAATGAAAGCCATTGACATGTAAACGTTACATGATTATCTACTTACGGATTGTTGCACATGTGAACATTTGAGTGAATGAAATGAGTGTTACAGGAACAGACGTTAGGAAAGTAATAACACTTTAAAACAACCGAATTCAATATTTTTAACACGAAAATAGATATATACGTAAAACAATAATACATACACATTTTGAACCTGCAATTTCTAAAATATAATGATTGTTAAGTGGTAAAAACTTAATAAAATAAAATGTAAAATATTTTTATAAATATATTATAAAAGATTTTTTTAAAAAAAAAAATAAGATTATGGGGTGGAGGGGGGTAGGGGGTGTACAGGGAGGAGGTGGTGAAGTGGAGTAAGAAAAATAATTTAAATTTTATTTTTAAAAAAAACATTTTTTTAGGGGATAGTAATACTTTAATCTTTAATTTTTGATTAATATTAATAATGTATTATTTAATTTTTGTCAAGGTGGAATATTTTATCCATGAAGAATGTCGTCATGTGTCAAGGTTTTTATTAAGAGTTTAAGTTTTGTGCACTGTCAGTGTAGTAAATTTCTACACCATCATGTAATTTTAATTTCTCCCTAATCTTTTTTAAGAAATATAAAATTAAAATTAACTTTTTTTTCTCTCTCTCCTAGAAATTAAAATCCTGTCTTTATCCCTCTAAAATAGCTGATATTCAGCGGCAGTTACTCCTTCTTATACGCATTTGACCTACTTCCTCTTTATGCTTTTTTTTTCAATCTGCATATCACATTTGACCTACTTCCTCTTTATGTTTTCTTCTGATCTGCATATCTTGATATTCCAATTTTGTTTGTTTATTCGTACTCATGGAGGGTTATGATTTTGTTTTTATTTTATCATTTTTCACTCTAATTAACTAATGGTTATTTTATTGATTAGTATAAAGAAAGCATTTGCAGGTGAATTTGCAGAATCAAAGTGTCAAATTCAATAACCTATTTTGCTATGTGAGTACAGTAGATCTATGTTAGTGAAACTATTCTCTCTTTATTAATAATTTAATTTTAGAATTATTATGTGATTAATGTGTCTTATTTGCACAATCAATTTACTCTAATAGAATTTCATTGTTTATGAGTAATTCATTCAATCTTCCTATAGATGATGGTGCTCTTCATACCATTTATGTGGGCATAATTTATCAATACCCTGATCTAACAATAGATGGGAAGAGAAAATAGAATTAAGTTACTAATCCTATTTCTCTGTAATGCTTTCAACTTTAAGAGACATAATTTACCTAAATTATTTTGGACAGATTGATCATATTCTGAATTAATTTTATTGTTATGAATGAGTTACTGATTCTCTTTCTGTAAATTTTCACGTAAGGAGTCTATTGAGTTTTGTTTTTTGGTTGGTTGGTGGCTCATGGAACATGATTTATCGATGCTCATGGAGCATATTTTTTCATCATCCCCGAGTGGCGTCAGAACACCAACAAGCTCCTCGAAAAGCCTTGCAGAAATACTTGCATTTGTGAACCCCTTTAGTTCTCAATATTGGGAATAATTGTGTTCTGTTCCACAGTGAGTTGAGCTCTCATGAACCATACTAATCAGCCAAATGAGCTAAGATCATTCATGTCGTCTGCTTTGACACGACTAGCAGGGATATGAAGATCAATAAAGCTATAGTCGTTCTGCTTCTGTATGCACGCCAAGGTAACCTCTTCTTTCCCATTGTTTCTGAACCAAGTCATCCGAAGATGCTCCTTCTAGCTCCTGCTGAGACATATTTCTATCTTCACAATGATCGATAACGATGCATATACAACTCCTCTTGTCCACCCCAAGCAACATATATACTATATGGGGTAAAAGGAATGGAAAATGCTTCGAAAAGAAAAGAGAGACGCTTTATAGTAAATGTATTTCACAATTTGTACTATTGTATGAAATTTAAGTTTCATTCTATGTATGACAAACTTGTTGGACTTGTTAGAATCTAAATTCTAATATAAGTTCAGATTCATGTATATCATTCTGATACTATTTATCAATAAAAATTTATCGAATAAGTGATTTTAATTATATTTATGATCTTTGACATATATATATCTCAAGTTTTACATCTTTGAAACTAAGCAATGAAGAGGAAACTCATAGACTCATGATGCTATTAACAGCTGGTTGGGGAGGAGGATGAGGTAAAAAGTTCAACCACATCTGGAGCATCATATAAGTTTGCATATCGTAAAGGAACAAGTTTTCTACACCACCAGAAAACTATTTGTATATAATTGTATTATGGCATAGCTAGTTTTTATTAAGGTTTTCGACAACACATGTTATAACATCAGCTATTTTTAGAGTAAAATTTGTTGATTTGTAGAGAAATCTTACATTTTACGCTCATTTTCGAATGATATAAAGTGCATCTATTTTCACACGTAACAAAAAATATAATTGATTTGACCCAAAAATAGAGGACAAACTGCAATACAAGCATATAATTTTATCCCATATACATGTCAAAATAAACAATGAAAGTACTATTCAAAAGTTAAAAAATTTCAAAGAAAACTAATAAACTAAAATCTAAATAACTGCTTCCTCTTATTTCCTATATTCTCAAAGCTCCAAATCCTTCATCTTCTTACTCACTAACTAGGATGGTGTTGCTGGAATGGAGTTGAAGCTGCTTTCATCAACTCCTGAAAGGAAGAGTTATAATTCATCAACACACACTTTAGCATGTACATAATATATAAACGATAGAATAAAAAATGAATAGTTCTTACCGTAAATGATGTGGCATAAGCACAATCAGTGTTCTCAATAAATCCTTGATAATATTCTGGATATCGTTGAAACTGCTGACAAATTAAATGATAAAATTTGAAAGAATTCTGTTAGTTGAAGAAGAAGGTATATGAAAAGTAAGCCAACTGACATAAGCTAGTATACAAAAAATTACCATTGAATGAGCCTCGTTAGATATTGTTGTACCATTCTGCTCGACTTCGACATTATAATTTGAACTGCACATAAAATGTTAGAAGTTATAACAACAATAACTCGCAATAGAAATAATATTTATTGTGTAAAGTGAAATTACCTTGTTTCCTTTCTCTTAAATTTCATACTTTTCGTTTGCCTTTTTTGCTTCTGAGAAGTAACTTTTTTGGTCTTTTGAGTAACTTCCAAAGCACCTTTCATTCTCAAAGATCTTGGACGCCCTTTAGTTGCCGCTACTGGAGGGTCAAGCAGAGTAGTATCTTGACTTTGTTCACATGATATTATTTCACAATATTTTTCACTACCTGGACCACCTGATACAACACAATCTTCCTCTGATTCATAAGGAAGTTCATCAAGTTCTTCACACAATTGCAATAATCTTTGATGTGCAAATTGATAATGTTTTTCAGACTTTGTAGCTCGTTCAGATAGCCCAATAGAATGTATCATAATGTTATTAAACCATAAGGTAGAAGATTTCAAATTTTTTGTTTCATTTGGTGGATCATTAGCTCTTTCTTTGGTTGCATTTCTACTCCATCGATCTAATAAATAATATGTCGGAAGTGAGTGAATCTGCTTCTTTATAAATACCATTAGTACATGTCTACATAGAATTCCCATGAACTCAAATTTGTGGCATGAACAAACAACTCTTTTCAATGCAAGATCCAAACTAACGATGTATGTCGGCTTTTGTCGTTGAAGTTGATGCACTTTATAGATGTTTCTTCCGTCCTTAACCTCAATCTTTTCAGAGATAAATTTTTGAGATTGAATTAGTTCTTCTTGAAAAATCTGAAATATCTTTCTTGTATATTCCTTCGCCACTTCATCCTCCATAGGATACAAAGTTTTCAAGATAGGCCTTGAATGTTTTGTCTTGTAATCCTTCTCTCTTACTTTATCATATCTAGCGTCAATAGCCTTATCATATTGCACCACAAATATACTCATTGGAGTACTAGAATTCAAATAATCTTTAAAAAATTTGTTCATACTCTCACTTCTTTGACTTGTTGACATGCCTGCACAAAAAGTAGTACGCACATATGCTGGTATCCATTTTTCACGAATTGCATATATTCTCTGCAACCAACTATTTTCTCCTAAATTATACATCTCCATAATTTCTATCCACATTGTTTCAAATTCCTCAGGAGTGGTTGTACCATGAATACACCAACTAAACTTGCTACTAAAATCAACATACTGATGATAAACATGACTTAAATATTCTGGAATCTTCTTTGTTATGTGCCACATACAAAAATGGTGTTTAGTGTTAGGAAATACTGTTGCAACTGCATTTGTTATGGCAGAATCTTGATCTGTTATGATTGTATGAGGCGCAACTCCGAACATTGCCTCTTGCCAAGTACGAAGTAACCACTCAAAAGTGTCTTGAGTTTCATCCCAAAGTAGAGCACAACCAAGCAAAATAGACTGATAATGATTGTTAACTCCAGTAAATGGAACAAAAGGCATCTTATATTTATTTGTCAGATATGTAGGATCAAAAACAACTACTTTCCCAAAATTCTTATAAGCAATCCTAGATCTAGCATCAACCCAAAAACAATTAGCTAAATGACCATCTACATCCATTTGAATTGCATAAAAGAAACCTGGATTTTCAGATTGACGCCTTTGGAAATATTGTAGCATTAATTGTGCATCTCCTTTTTCAAGATTTTTTTGTCTTCTAGTTTGCAAATAATTCTGGATATCTTGACTTGTTAAATTCAGTCGATCTATACCCCCAACTTGATTCATCAACACTGATGCTATTTTACTTGGACGAACTCCAGAGTTATCAAGTAAATCAATAAGATTCTTTTGGGCATCAGATTTTTTTCTTTTTGATCGCAAGAATTTTTGACTATTTGGAGATGCAAGTTCATGATTGTGCTTAGCAACAAGCCTACAAACAACCCAATTACCTTCTTCTTTCTTTGACATATATAACAACACTTTGCATCCTTCTCTGGTTTCATCTCGTGGTTTATTACTTTCTAAATTTTTCTTTGAACGAAATCCTTGCTTTGAACAGACAAACTCTTGACCAATTATTGACTTATCTTTTCTTGACTTAGTCATACGACCTCGACGTACACTAAAACCGCTACGATGAGCATATTCGAGATAAAATTTAAATGAATCATCAAGTGACTGAAACTCCTTACCGATATAGGGGTCTCTCGAATTTCCAACTCCTATTTCGGAAACAATCTGTCTTGTTTCTTCCCTATCACTTTCTTCTAATGAAACTTCAACTTCTGTATGTTGCTCATCTAAATTTGAGTTTTCCATTGATGCTGCAAAATACATTTATGAATGTTAGATAACTTAAAATTATGAATATGTCTATTTATTATTCAACACTTCCTTTGGAAAATATATTCAGTAGTGGAAGTTAAACTAATAAAATTTCTTCCCAATAACTTGGTGTAGAACAGAAGAATTAGAGACGATATGACAATACTTTAAATGCAATATTCACCTCTCTCGATGCTATATTCACCTATTTTTGGTACATTGAATTATTTTGCTAATGAAGATTTGTTCAAAAGGAGTTTTTTCATGCTTATAAACAAGAAAATATAAGAAATTTGTTCTCGCGACATACCGTTGAGTAGAAGAAGCTTGTCAAGTTTTAGAATGTTTGAAGTTCTAAAAATTATTTCTTACTAGGTTCAGAAAGTATGATGTTTGAAGAATTACATGAGCGATGATCTTAAGGGAAAACCTACGATAAACCTAATTATTGTATTAATCTTGGAAAGAAAATAATTTAATTACGGAATTATATTTGGTTAGAATCCAAATAGGACTCAACTATTGATATTCTTCTTCTTCTCTTTTTAGTAAATGGTTGATATTATTTTCTTTTCTTTTTTATAATTATAATATTTTATTAAAGTAAGTTACCTGATGGTGTAGAAATTTACTACACTGACAGTGCACAAAACTTAATCTCTTTTATTAAATAATAGAGAGAGCATTCTCAAAGTAATAAGTGATAGTTTAAATATGAGATTAAAATTAATTTAACTTAAGTGTGCTTTTGATACTTATCTATTACTTATACATAGAAGTGGCAAAATAGGTATTTAATATGTGTATCCACTCATATTTACCCATTTTAAATGGGTTGGGTATCCAACTTATTTAAACATGGAAAAATTACAGAAATCCCGCCTTTTAGTTTACTTATTATCATTATCCCCTATAAGTTTTACAAATCTCCAAATTCCCTCATAAAGCGCATCAGATTAGTATATCATGTATAAAATGTAATGTATCTTAATTAACGATTAATGTATCTCGCGCATCAGATTAATGTATCAGCGCTTATATTATTGTATCCGTTTGAGGGATTTCTATAATGATAAACTTTTAAGGGATATATTGTAATTTTGCCTTAAAAATATGTGATTTCTGTAATTTGCCCAAAAATGGGTAAAAACGAGTCATACTCAAATACCCATTTAAAAGTGGGTAGTTAAATGGGTAATATGGGTAAAAAATGTTCATTCATAAAAAAAGAAAAGTGATTAGAGGTGGGTGGTAAAAAAATAGGGGGAAGGGGGGTGGTGGGGGGCTGGAGGGGGGTAGTGGTGGTGGGAGTGATAAAAGTAGTAAAAATAAATTTAATTTCTTTTAAAAATATAAATAAAAAAATAAATTTAATTTTTAGGCGTTGGGGTTGGGGGTTGGGGAGGTGGGGGGAGTGGTGGTGGGGTGATCAAAGTAGTAAAAAAATAAATTTAATTTTTAGGCGTTGGGGTTGGGGGTGGGTGGGTTCGTGGGGGGGGGGGGAGTCGGAGTAGTAAAAAATAATAATTTTTGAGGCGTTGGAGTTGGGGGTAGGGATGGGGGTGGGCAGGTTAAATTTAAAAGTTCTAAGTATTTTTTTCGTGGGGATGGGGTGAGGTGGGGTGGGGGTGTGGGTTGAAGAGTATTTTTTGCTTTTGAAGCTTTTAACATGATCCCTATAATAATATGGGTAAATATGGATACCCATATTATCCATTGGGGAACTCGTTTTTACCCATTTAAAATATGAGTCGAACAGAGTATTTTATCCATTTTTATTAACTCATTTTCGATCAGCTCATATTCGACTCAACTCGCTCGTTTGCCACTCCTACTTATACATAATACGAACAAGAAGAAGACAGAGGGAGTAGTAACTAATAAACCGATACATGTAGGGTGTGTTTGGTATGAAGGAAAATGTTTTCTTGGAAAACAAGTTGATTTTTGACTTATTTTCTCATGTTTGGTTGGTGAGTAGAAAATATTTTTCGGAAAAGATTTTTAGTGTTTGATTTATGAATGATTTTTTTTTTTGAGAAATATCTTTTATTTTTACTAGGGTAGAAAATAATTTTTGAAATTGAAAATATTTTTTAAAAACATAACTTAAATTTTTTGGGGGTGGGGTGGGGGGTGGTAGGGGTGGGTTGAGGGTAGGGGTGAAAAATTGAATTTTTGAAGTTGAAAATATTTTTTAAAAACAAACTTAATTTTTTTTTGAGGGGATGGGGGCTGGTAAGGGGTGGGTGGGGTGGGGGGCTGGTAGGGACTGGGTGGGGGGTTGAGGGTTGGGGTGAAAAAATAAAATTTTGAAGTTGATTTTTTTTTTAAAAAAACAAAATTAAAATTTTTTTTGGGGGTGGTGGGGGGAGGGTGCTGGTAGGGGGTGGGGTGAAAAAAATGACATTTTGAAATTGAAAATATTTTTGTAAAACAAACTTAAAATTATTTTTGGGGTGGTGGTGGTGGGCGGGGGGGGGGGCTGGTAGGGGGTGGGGGGGTCGAGGGTAGGGGTGAAAAAATGAAATTTTGAAATTGAAAATATTTTTAAAAACAAACTTAAATTTTTTTTTTGGGGGGTGGGGGGTGGGGGCTGGGTAGGAGGTGGGTGGGGGGGTCAAGGGTAGCGTGAAAAAATGAAATTTTGAAGTTGAAAATATTTTTTAAAAACAAACTTAAAATTTTTTTTGGGGGGGGGGTGGTAGGGGTGGGTGGGTGGGGGGTCGAGGGTAGGGGTGAAAAAATGAAATTTTGAAATCGAAAATATTTTAAAAACAAACTTACATTTTTTTTTTTTGGGGAGTGGGGGGCTGGTAGGGGGCTGGGTAAGAGGTGTGTGTGGGGGGGGTCAAGGGTAGTGTGAAAAAATGAAATTTTGAAGTTGAAAATATTTTTTAAAAACAAACTTAAAATTTTTTTTGGGGGGGTGGTAGGGGTGGGGTGGGGGGCTGGTTTGAGGATAGGGACAAATAAATTGATTTTTTCAACAATTTTTTTTTTAATTGGAAGTTGGAAGAGAGTTTTGGAAAATGTTTTCCTTAAGTTTTGAAGGGAAGTCATTTTCCTCAAATTTGAGGAAAATGAGTTGATTTGAAAAACATTTTCCAAAACATTTAACCCAACCAAACATGAGAAAATTGGAAAACATTTTCCGGAAAATGTTTTCCTTCATACCGAACACACCCGTAATCTTTCTATTAGCTTTGGCTTTGTTGAGAAAGCAATGATGGAAGAACATAGACAATATTTTCGTATCCTTTTCTTCATTTATCTTGTCTTCTGTTCTTCTCAATTCGCTATATCCCAACGTTTAGTGAATTTCATTTCCGGTGTTCCCACTTTATGGATCAACAAACTTACTTATACACCCATCCTTCGGAATGAAATACTGGCCTACAATTCCTCTACGACTTCTCTTGCAATTTCTATCCGACAGAATGCTTTCTTGGTATCTCATTAGTAGTCTACAACAGCACCGCCGGTGAGACCATTTATATAGAGGGAGGACACTTAGTTTGGTCTGATAATCGAGACCGTCCAGTGAAAGCCAATGCAACCTTGCAACTTGGTCTTGGCAGACTCTGATGGCACTCTTGTTTGGTCCAGTAATACTACTGGAAAATCTGTTTCTGGCTTAAACTTGGCAGAAACGGGGAATCTCGTGCTCTTTGATACGACCAACCGCACAGTTTGGCAGTCTTTTG